GTGTGTGTGTGTGTGTGTGTGTGTGTTCACAATTACCTTGGCACGGCGTCTAAGGCAGGAGATTGAGGAAGCACGTTGACCTGCGCCAAGTGGCAGCGTACGCAATCTGCTGAGAGTGAATTGCTGCAGACGAGTTTGCTGGGCCGTGTGTTGAGCTGCGTGGTTGAAGATGGGCTCAACCCCAGGCAGGAGCAAAGGGGAGGGCAAGACTTCTCAATAGCCATTGGCCGATTGGCGGTCGGTCAATGGTCATTCAGAAGCAAATGGGTTGGACTCCTGTTGGAGAAGGAGAAGGATGGGTCCGACGGGGAGATGGTCCTTCTGAGAATAGGTGGAGTCTGAGGAAGCCGAAGTGTAATTTCACATTTGGACGTCGAGTAATTTGCGAGCAAGATTTGAACTTTACTTAACAATCAAACGGAAACTTGTGTAATATTCTCTTGTTCGCTTTCTTCCTCCCCCCTCCCCCCCCTGACAGCAATCAAACGGATTCAATTTGGGACTTTACATACTCAAGGGAGAGGGGATGAGGGGGCTCAGCAATGTAACGGATTGGGACTTACTAAACGGAACGGGAATGTGGGACAGCAATCTGAAGGCTTGGGACTTGCTCAAGGGAGAGAGAATGGGGAGGAGGAGGTGGGTGGCCAATCCGTTAGCTTGAAATCACCGCTTGAATCTGGGCGTGTTTGTGCAGACGTCCAGATTCGTTCCTCTGGGAGCGGGTGCTGGGCTGATTTTTTTTTTTTTTTTTTTTTTTTTTTGGGTGATTTATTTTTACAAACAACCTGCATTGAAAATGCCAGGTAAAAAAAAAAAAAAAACTTTGCGGCTTGCAAGAATATTAGTACGTCACCAAAAAAAAACAAAAAAGGTGACGTACTAACCAACAGGCCTAGCTCAGTTGGTACACCCTTGAACGAACTCTGTTGAAATGCAGACGGTAGGCCACCACCTGGCTAGAGATATGCAGTAGCCTGTTTTTGTGAATTAAGCCCGGGGGCCAGGGGGACAAGTCCCACTAGCAGCGTTGAGCTACCTCAACGCCTGAATCTGGACGTGTTTGTGGAGACCTGCAGTTGAGGAAACTCAACACCATTTCTGCACATCTCCGCAAAAGGGTCCAGATTCAGGCGTTGAGATAGCTCAACGCTGCTAGTGGGACTTGGCCCCGGGAAAAGGATGTTTGTTTTCGCTCTCCCATTGGTAGTTTTTTTTTTCGTTTTTGCTGTGGGTGTCCTGTGGCGGCCCCAAACGTGCGTGAAAACTCTCCACTACTGTCCACTGTACAATTTTTCGGACAGTTGGTGGACAGTTGTCAGAGCGAAAAATTGTACAGCGGACAGTGGAAAATGCGACATCGCTCCACTTACTGTCCGCTGTCCACCTCTCAAATTCGTGAGTTCACAAAGGACAGCGGTGATAGAACTACAAGACAGGGCGTCCAAAGGATTTTGTCCGCCCGGACTCGCCGTGCACTCTCCGAATTCGGGTCCTCACGGTGAGTCCCTTGAAGGACTTTTCGAGTATTACCGCGAGTAACGAATTTTGCAGGCTGGGAGCTGTACATTCACGGACAGTAGATTTTCGACGGGGTTTCTACTCACTGTCCAAGCCATTTTGCACATGTACAGTGGACAGTAAGTGGAGAGAAGCACCACTGTCCGTTTTTGTACAGTGGACAGTAGTGGAGCGAGACCCCAATTTTTTTGGGTAATGAAATCACGCACGTTTCATTCATGGCGAAGGCAAAGACGAATGGCTTCATCGCTGGCAATTGATTGTGGTTTGGGAGGTGTTTGGGAGGGGAGGGTTTGATCCCCTCACCTACAGTAAATGGTGTATGGGGATGCTATGGCCCTTCTTTGGGCGTCGCCGCACGAGACACGAAACGAAAAACGAAACGAGTGCATCTTCCTGCAAAAAATGGCCTCGTTCATGGGTTTGCTATAAATAGTAAAGAGTGTATTTTGGCCCCTTTCGTGGGCAGATGCACTCGTTTCGTTTTCATTTCGTGCGCCGTGCAGCGAGACCCTTTGCCAAAGAGAATGTCTGTCAGAACAACCGAACAGCGTGCACTGCGGCCTACTATTGTCAATGAATATGGTCCGTGTGCCCAGTCACATGCAGTCGTCTTGACTGCCACAGCCATGGTCAGTGAATCATACCCTGACATCTGACAACCCGCCTGGAGCAGACAGCATCGTGAGAAGAGCACTTTCTTTTCTTTTTTAGCAGTTTTTTCTTCATTTGTTTGGGGAAATTTTGTCTGGCGCCTCTGTATTTTCCATTAATTTGCGTCGCACCCCTCCGACAGCCGACTTACCCTGTCGCGCCCCTCTGACCAGATGTCGAATTTTCCGTAAAACCCTGGTGTCGTTTCGGCCTCATATGTTTTCGTAGTGCCCCTACCGGACCCACCTCAAATTTGCATCATGCCCCTACCGGATAGCTGTTGGTGAAATTTCCGATATGCCCCTACCGGTACCATAGATCTTTTCAGTGTGCCCCTGTAGGCTGTCGCCGTTGGAGGCACTGAGGGAAAATAAACGCAAAAAAACATTTCCCTATCGTGCCCCTGTAGGCTGTCGCCGTTGGAGGCACTCAGGGAAAATAAACGCAAATTAAACGCCGGAGTTTGTTTGGTCATGAAATGTTTTTTTGCATTTATTTTCCCTATTTCACGCTGCCACCCACCTGTCCCCCACCCGTCCCACACCGCCACACTAATCCACATACATGGCTAGCGGTCCAGGTCCGGCGTCTCCTACATTTATGCCACGGGCGTTTGGGCTGGGCGAGGCACTCCCGACCAAGCCCATCCATTTCAAATATATGATTGAAAAAAAAAAGGAAAGCACAAAAACGGAAAGAAGAATCTTGTGAGCCTCGTTTGGCGTCAGTCTGTGGTTGAGGGTATGAGGTGGGGGGGAGGTCCCACTAGCAAAAAGGATTGGTGGATTAAGTGCCTGAATCCGGATGTTTTTTAAGCAGAGATGCAGAGAAAGCAGATCAATTGCGATTTCCTGCACCTCTGCACAAAGACGTCCAGATTCAGTCGTTAAATAGAATCCACTTTGCTAACCCCACCTCCGCCCAGGTCACTCCTTTATTGAAATCTCTCTCTCTCTCCTTTTTTGTTTGTTTCACTGAAGGCCAGGTAACGCTGGTACGGTGATGGTTAAAGAGTGGGTGATCTGGGTGCCGCCACACCACCCTCAAAATGTGCAAAATGAGAATGAACTTCCTGCTAGAACATGGGCCAGATGCACCCGCCACATTTTTGTCGTTTCCACATTTCTAAAAGTGGTGTGACACGGCCCTGGTACAGACATATGGATCATATGATTGCATCGTCGGAGTGGTTGCAGCCTTGATGTA